CAGGAGGAGACGGTAGGGGGACACGCTGTGGACCAGTGGAAGGACGAAGGGCCATAATGTGCGTGCCAGGAACAGGAGGAGGACGCGGACGCGCGACACGACGACCAGTGGGACCAGTGCGCGCAGTGCGAGCAGTGCGAGCAGCGCGAACAGGCGAGGCAGGACGAGACGCAGGCTCGCGACGCTCCGTAAGCGAGTCCGGCTGCGCAGTGTAAGGCACAGGAGCAGGGAGGGGGGAGCCAGGCTGGAGGGGAAGGCCAGTGGAAGACGGGAGGGAAAGAACCTGGCGAAGCACCGTGTCAGGCGGTGGCAAAGCCGACGGCGACGGCGGAGCGAAGAACAGTCGCGACGGCGGAGCTCCGCCAGTACCTCCAGCACCCGCAGCACCAGAAGCACCAGCACCAGTGCCCCCCGCCGCAGCACCCCCAGAGCCGGCGACGTCAGCACCAGAGGCCCCAGCAGCGGCAGACCTCCCCTCGCCAGCACCTCCAGAACCAGCAGGACCAACGCCTCCAAGACCGTCAGCTCCAGTGTCGTCAGCTCCAGCAGCTCCAGCACCTCCAGGAAGAGCACCCCCATGGCCGGCAGCTCCAACTCCACTCGTACCACCAGCTCCAGAGTCCCCAGCTCCAGCAGCTCCAGCCTCAGTGCTCCCAGAACAACCAGCCCCGGCAGCTCCAGTACCTCCAGTACGAGCACCTCCAGGACGAGCAGCTCCAGAACCTCCAACTCCAGCAGGGCCACGAGGACGGCGAAAGCGCCGGACGTACCAGTCACGAAGCTGCTGCTGAGTGAGAGGCGGCTCAGCACCCCGAACCGGAGCACCCCTAGACGCAGCAACCCCAGGCTCCGTAGGCTCAGCAGCAGCACCCCCAGGCTCAGTACCCTCAGGCGCAGCACCCCCAGGCTCAGCACCCCCAGCAGCACCACCCGCACCAGCACCTGAGTCACCTGTGACCTCGACAGGCTCAGCAACGGGAGGAGGGTCTACCTGAGAGACACCTGAAGGAGCAGGACCCTGAGGGGGAAGGGGGTCTAGCGGAGGGGGACCAGGAGCGAGGAAAAGCGGCGGGGGAGGGAGGGGGGCAGTGCGGTAGGGGAAGAGACGGTAAAAAGGGACCGACTCGTCAAAGGTGACGTCCTGAGAGGCGAAGACCCGGCGCGAGGTGGGGTGGTAAAACTGCCAGCCAGGCGCGTCAAGGACAAAGCCAAGGAAGACACAGGGAAGCGTGCGGGAGGAGAGCTTGTCCGCGGACGTATCGCGGACAAGGGCACGAGCACCCCACACCCGGAAGCGCGACGCATCGCCAACCTCCCCCGTCCAACGCAGTGTGGGCGAGGTCTCCGGCAAGGAGACACGGGGCCAGAGGTTGAGCTGATGCGCGGCGTACCGGACAGCAAACGGCCACAGAAAATGGGGAGCCACCGCATGGACCAAGGAGGTACGAGCGACCTCCATGACCAGGCCAATGCGGCGCTCAGCAACCCCATTCTGCTGTGGGGAGTCCGGAAGCGTGAAGGTCTGCTCGATGCCCTCCGCCTGACAGAAGGTCCTCAAGAGGTCGGAGGAAAACTCACCACCTCTGTCAGAATGCAGACGCAGGACAGGAAGATCTGTCCGGAAACGGCGGCGGAGCTGGAGACGAACTGTGCGGATCCAAGGGATCAGAACAGCAGGGACCTCACCCTTGGTGCGCAAGGGGAAGACCGTGGTGTAGCGCGTGTAGTCGTCGACAACCAGCAAAAAATACCGCTCACCGCCCTGGCCACGAACGCGGGCTGGGCCCCACACGTCCAGGTGGAGGGTCTGCAGAGGAGCCTCTGTCAGGGGGAACGAGGAGGAGTGAGGAGCAGCGCGCTGCCGCCCCTCGACGCAAGGAAGGCAAGGCGGTGCAGGCGAGGCAGGGAGGGGAGGGAGGGACCTGGGAAGACCAGACACAAGGTGGCGACGGTGCATGCCACGGAGGCGTGGCAAGGAGGGGTGACCCAGGCGGTGGTGCCAGAGAAGAGTCTGGTGCGACAGGGAACGACACTCACAGGCGTGGGCTACCAGACCTGACGCGGACACCTGACCGACAGCAGCGACCTGAGGAGACGTAGTGGTCAGTGTGTAGAGACTCGACCCCGGCTGACGGGTAAACGTAGCCAGGTGACGGCCGGTCCTAGAGCACGTGAGGATCGCCACACGCTGTCCTCCAGGGGTAAAGGTGTCAACCCACTGATCCTGGATGACAGCGTTGCTCACCAGGTTCGTCGAGAACGAGGGGAGGTGGAAACCTGACAACGAGCCAGACGGAACCGCCGGACACGGGAGCACAGTGGTGGACCGTGCCAGGACTGGGCCCCCCGAGGGGTCAGCCAAGGAGACTGGGACCGGTGCAGGAAGCGGTGTGAGCTCAGTACTGTCACGAAAGAAACAGCGGGAAGCACCTGAGTCAAGGGTGAAGGTGTGACAGGCCTCAGCCGGTGCAGTACCTGAGAGAGCAGTCTCTGTGGGTGCTGTACCTGAGAGAGCAGACTCACAAGCAGCAGGGACAGTACTGGAGGGAGCAGCCACAGAGGGGACCGTACCAGAGAGAGCAGACTCACTAGTACCTAGGGCAGCGGGCTCTATACCTGGGTCAGGTGGCACACACAAGTAACAGTCTCCCTCGGCACTAACAGACAATTCATACATGGCAGCAATAATAGCATCATAGTCAAGAGCAAAGATATCAACACCAGCCCTCATCAGCTCCGCCCAGCGGGGGCGCTCAACATCCTCGCCGATCTCCTCACGCCAAGCGTCGTCAAGGCGGGAGAAGCAGCGGTACGGGGTGTGGAACCTCCCACACGTCTGTCCCTTGCGGTCACCTGTGCGAATGACATAGGAATAGTGGGCACTGCCCCCCGACGTCCCACGCTGAGCAAGCCACTCACGAAGCTGCTGGGTCGTCTGGGGACGCTGCTGCTGGTGGGAGCTCTGGCCCGAGCCAGTGCCTCCACTCCGACCTCCGCCGCCACCACTACCTCCGCTCCGACCGCCACCGCCGCCACCGCCACCGCCGCCGCCGCCACCGCCGCCGCCGCCACCACCGCCACCGCTCCCTCCGCCGCCCCCGCCTCCGCTGCCGACCCCACTCCCACCAGCACTCCCGCCACCGCTCCCTCCAGCACCGCCTCCCCCCCCACCTCCCCCACCTCCTCCCCCCCCAGCGCCACCCCCGCCACCCTTGCCCCCCTTGCCCTTGCCGGTGCGGCGCCTCCCACCAGGAGCATTAGCAGCGCCTGCAGACTCAGCACCAAGGAAGTCAACAGCAGCAGCAGTAGCGTAGGAGGGAGCGAGGGGAGAGGGAGAACACCCCTCAAAGATGGGGGTGCGAGGAGCGCCACGAGCAGCACCTACAGCTACAATGCTCTTCTCGGCTGCTAGCAGTTTCTCCTCTAGGAGGGCGACAGTGAGCTCAGTGGGACAGCGAGCAAGGAAATAGTCGCGCACTGAGCTAAGGGTGTCAGGGAGACGGGTGACTATGAAGTGGAGTGTCCAGTACAGTGGAGGGGGGTTCTTAGCGCAGAACTCGGTGGGAAGGGCGGCACGCAGGCGAGCGTCACTAGTGCGAAGGTGGGTGATAAGATCGGCGACTGTAGCAAAGGTGGACAGCTCAGGGAACAGGTAAGGCAGCATAAGGCGGCTAAGCTCGGCTGTGGCAGGTGAGGAATAGCGGGCAACGACAGCGTCGTATAGGGCCTTAGCGGTTTTGCAGTCGCCAAAATGCTCGAGCTCAGCTAACGGCAGGTGACTGCGAATGGCTAGGCGAGCAGCTGCGTCACGAGTCTGCCAGTGGGAACGAACACTAAGCTCTGCTGTGGCAGGAGGGGCAGGCGAAGCACCAGACGCGTAATCATAGAGCGACACATGCTCCTTGCTATCGCTCAGGAGGAACAGCTGCAGGTCATCTAGCCAAGTGGTGAACTGCACAGGGCGGCCCTCAGCATCGAACGAAAGCACGCGGATGGAAGCCATAGCGACAGTACGGCAGAGCAACGCAAGCTACCACAGCAGGGGCGGGCAATTGCGCACGGGCAGGGAGCAGCAGGCGGCGCTGCAAGCGGGCAGCGCGGCGGACGGGCGGCTCTGCAAGCGGGCAGCGCGGCAGGCAGGCGACGCTGCAGGCGGGCAGCGCGACAGGCGGCGCGGGGCACAGCGGGCGACGCGCGGGGCTGAAAGGCAGCTCGACGGGCTGCGCGGGGCAGAGCGGGCGGCGCGCGGGGCTGCAGAGCCGAGCGACGAGCAGCGCGGGGCAGGGCGGGCGGGCCGCGGGGCTGCGAAGCAGATCGACGGGCGGCTCGGGGCACAGCGGGCGGTGCGCGGGGCTGCGAGGCAGCGCGACGGGCAGCGCGGGGCAGAGCGGGCGGCGCGACGGGCAAAGCAGGGGAGGCGCGCGGGGCTCTGGGCTGGCAGGACGCCGGTCGGCAGGGCGCACGAGGGCGCTACAAGGGCGCTACGAGGGCGCTAGGGCGCAACGAGGGCGCTACGAGGGTAGGGCGCGGGGGTAACGCGGTAACCGCAGCGTGCGGTGGTGGGCCCTAAAAAAAAACGATCGGATGGTCCTAGGGACCACCTGCTCTGAATACCATGTCAGAATACTAGCGTAAGAATGGTGCATTGAAAGAAACAGTTGGGTACAAGTAGCTAACCCTAGTTGGGGTTGTACCCTATATTGGCTACCCCACTACAGCCTACCAACATATAACACATTACAACTTAACAGGTTCCTGAAGGGGGCCTTCCGCACCTGCAGGGAGTGGAGGATGCGCTGAAGGGCCATTACCGCGTTATGCTGATGAAACGTGCGATAGCGGCGAAGCGGTTCCAGTTCGACTATTCGGCTTCCATCGCTGACGTGGATTATGGCCTCATGCTCGAGTGGCTGGGAGACTCGTGGACTCGTGTGCGCGCAGCAACCATGCAGAGGAGCTGGTGGCGCGCCGGATGCGTGCCCCCGAGCTGGCCGCCACTGATGGCGTACCTGAACGACACGAGCGCAACAGGCATGTTTGAGCCCCTCATTGCGATATGCGTCGAGCTGCAGTTGCTCATCGAGAAGTTCTAGATGAGGCCTGCGTGCTACATGACGGCGACGGAGTTCGTCAACTGCGACGCGGGACTCTGCGTGGAGCAGGGGTTCAGGGCCACGCCTGCTGCCAGCGCGTCGGATGACTCGTCGGGCGAGATGAGCCTGCCAGACGGCCCATTGCTGCGTGACGAGCGCAGCAGGCGGCGCGTGATTCGCAACGTCACAAACGCGTACGTGGAGCGTGCCGATGAGCTCGGCATTCCCCCGGCCCTCGTGCCAGCAGAGGTCGGAGCATCTAACCAGGAGGTGATTTCCCGCCTCGGCAGGACGCCAGTCAAGCGTGCGCGCGCGGGGCTGCGCACGGAGGACGTGGCAGACCCAGCGGTGCGCGAGAGTGAGGACGACGAGTGATGCAGTTGATTGCAGAGGGGCTAAGTAGTGGGAGTTGTGTGTGTGCGGTACCGTACGACTGGTTGACGGGGGTGGGGTTGTCTTGTTGATGTAATAGTGGTTGTTATGGGAGTGAAGTTTGAACGGAGTTATCAAACCATGTTTGGCATTTGTGTGTAAGCGTCAACTTTGTTTGCGATCAGATGTTATACAGTGACGGAATGGACGAACCGCACTTACCATAACGCGGACATTGGTTCGAGAAATTCGAGAGGTCGAGTGCGACTCGGGGTGTGTGTGTGCGTTTCGGGTTGTCGAAAGCTTCGCGGTATTATTACTGCATAGTCAGTATTTTCCAGATGATGTACGCGCGCGTTTTTGGTGTGCGGAATGTTGCGATTTGAGTGCGTTGTTTTCCCGCAGCTTTCCGCAACATTCTCGCAAGGCCGACGCAGAAAAACCTTCGGAGGCCAAAAAACGCAGCTTTCCTTTTTCGCGATGGAGAGCAGCTCCAACTTCTAGTAAAAGAAGTAGCAGGATATCGGTTCCCAAGTGTCAAACTATGCATATTGTGTTTGTGTAGGCTGCTAGTGGGGTAGCCCATATGGGGTACAACCCAATGTTAGGGTTAGCTTATGTACCCAACACTTCATCAATGCATCTCATTCCTGGTGTCAGATTCTAACATGGTTTCAGAGCACTAAGGTCCGTAGGACCGTTTTTTTTTTTTTTTTTTTTTCGGGCCCACCTACCACTGCGGTTACCGCGCTACCCCACGTACCTGCCTGCCTTGCCTTGCCTTGTGACGTGCTGCACTACGCGAGCCGTCCAGCAGCCCTAGCGCTGCCTCCTGCTGCCCTAGGCCAGCGCGCTGCCCCTAGAGGCCCGTAAGGCCCGCGCGCCGCCCCTACACGCCCTCCAGGCCTGCGCAGCCCGCACCGAGCCGCGCGCAGCCCGTTGCTACCGTGAGCTGCCCCCACCGAGCCCGTGCAGCCCGCACAGAGCCGCGCGCAGCCCCCTGCAGCCGCGCGCAGCCCGCACAGAGCCGCGCGCAGCCCGCTGCAGCCGCGCGCAGCCCGCACCGAGCCGCGCGCAGCCCGCTGCAGCCGCGCGCAGCCCGCACCGAGCCGCGCGCAGCCCGCTGCAGCCGCGCGCAGCCCGCACCGAGCCGCGCGCAGCCCGCTGCAGCCGCGCGCAGCCCGCACCGAGCCGCGCGCAGCCCGCTGCAGCCGCGCGCAGCCCGCACAGAGCCGCGCGCAGCCCGCTGCAGCCGCGCGCAGCCCGCGCCGAGCCCACGCAGCCCGCGTAGCGCCGCGCGCGGGCCTACTCCTGCCTCGCGAGGCCCGCGCGCGGCTCGCAGCAGCCCGCGCCGAGCCGCGCGCGGCTCGCCACTGCCTAACGCGGCCGCGTGCGGCCTGCAGCAGCCCAGCGCGCTGTCAGCGCAGCCCGCGCCGAGCCGCGCGCGTCCCTCTGCCTCGGCCCCGACCTGCCGCTGATACGGCCCCGCTCTGCAGCTGCCACGGCCCCGACCTGCCGCTGAAGCGGCCCCGCCCTGCAGCTGCTTCGGCCCTACTCTGCACCGGGTGTTGCGGCCCCGACGTCGCCGCTGTCGTGCGCCTACTCGGCCGCCGCCCGTTGAGCGCCGGCCCTGCTCGCCCGGCGAGCGCCTGCTCTTCCAGCCTTTGGTGAGCGCCTGCCTGCCTGCCTGCCGGCCTGCCTGTCTGTCTGCCTGCCTGCCGGCCTGCCTGCCTGCCTGCCTGCCTGCCTTCCTGCCTGCCTGCCGGCCTGCCTGCCTGCCTGCCTGCCTGCCGGCCTGCCTGTCTGCTTGCCTGCCTGCCTGCCTGCCTGCCGGCCTGTCTGCCTACCGGCCTGCGTGCCTGTCGGCCTGCCGCGCCTGCCCTGCCCGCGCTACTGCTGCTGCTACTGCTACTGGCCGGTGGCCAGATGCAGCCCCAGCGACGTTCACGTGAGTCTCTCACGCCCCAGCAGCTTAGTGAGTGGTATACTAGCTGGGGTTGTCGCGGTAGCAGTCGTAGCTGTCCCCCTGGAGCTGGTCAGTTGGGAGCGACTGGCAGTGGCCAGCTGCAGCTGCAGCGGCGTCCACGCGAGACACTTACGTCCCGGCAGCTCCACGAGTGGTACGCTCAGTGTAGCAGGTCTACGCGTACAGTTCGTTGCCCGTACGTCATTCGCACAGGTGATAGGACTGGTCAGCCTTGCGGGACGCTTGGTCACACACAGTCCCGCTGCTTCGCCCGTCTGAGCGACGACTGGCGTACAGTGTTTGGCGACGAGGCTGAGCTCCCCGACTGGCTGGAGCTGCTTGGACAGAGGGTAGATATCTTTGCTCCTGACTATGATGCTATTCTCACTGCCATGTATGCATTGCCTACTAGTGTTGACCGTGCCTGTTACCTGTGCGTCCCGCCTGACCCTGGTATAGCACCTGCTGCTCCCGGTACTGGTGAGGCTGCTGCCCTAGGTGCTCGTGCGTCTCCTCCTCTGGGTGCTGGTGAGGCTGCTGCTCTAGGTGCCGGTACGTCTCCTGCTCCAGGTGCTGGTGGGTCTGCTCTCTCTAGTTCTGCGCCTGCTGCGGCCTTGTACACCTTCACGCTTGACTCAGGTGCTTCCCGCTCCTTCTTTCGCGACTGCACCACACTCACGCCGCTTAGTCGGCCGGTTGCAGTCTCCCTGGCGGACCCCTCTGGGGGTCCAGTCCTTGCCCACTACTCCACGGTTCTGCCGTGTCCGGCCGCCCCGTCTGGCTTGCTGTCAGGTCTTTACCTCCCCTCGTTCTCTATGAACTTGGTGAGTGGAGCTGACCTCCAGGATCAGGGGGTGCACCAGTTCACTCCTGCGAGTCAGCGGGTGACTCACTGTACGTGTGCTCGGACCGGCCGACACCTGGCCACGTTTTCCCGTGCGCCTGGCTCGAGTCTGTACACCCTGACCACTGCGTCCGCTCAGGTAGCTGCGTCTGCGTCTGCGTCCGGTCAGGTAGCTGCGTCTGCGTCTGCGTCCGGTCAGCCGACGGCCCCCTGCGAGTGTCGCGCTTTGTCGCACCAGACCCTCCTGTGGCACCACCGCCTTGGTCACCCCTCGGTGCAGCGCCTTCGTGGCATGCACTCTCGCTTCCTGGTTTCTGGTCTGCCCAGGTCTTTGCCTGCCCTGCCTCCCTCGCTTGCGCCGCCCTGCATTCCTTGCGTCGAGGGGCGGCAGCGCGCCGCTCCTCACTCCTCCTCGTTCCCTCCCACAGAGGCTCCCCTGCAGACTCTCCACCTGGACGTGTGGGGCCCAGCCCGCGTCCGTGGACAGGGCCACGAGCGGTACTTCCTGCTGGTTGTTGACGACTACACGCGTTACACCACGGTCTTTCCCCTGCGCAGCAAGGGGGAGGTCCCTGCTGTTTTGATCCCTTGGATCCGCGCTGCCCGTCTCCAGCTCCGCGAGCGGTTCGGGACGGAGTTTCCCGTCCTGCGTCTGCACTCTGACAGAGGTGGTGAGTTCTCCTCCGACCTCTTGGCAGCCTTCTGTGCGGAGCACGGCATCACCCAGTCGTTCACGCTTCCGGACTCTCCGCAGCAGAATGGGGTTGCTGAGCGCCGCATTGGCTTAGTCATGGAGGTCGCTCGTACCTCCATGATCCATGCGGCTGCCCCCATTTTCTGTGGCCGTTTGCGGTCCGGTACGCCGCGCATCAGCTCAACCTCTGGCCCCGTGTCTCCTTGCCGGAGACCTCGCCCACACTGCTGTGGACGGGGAAGGTTGGCGATGCGTCGCGTTTCCGGGTCTGGGGTGCTCGTGCCTTTGTCCGCGATACCACCGCGGACAAGCTCTCCGCCCGTGCAGTTCCCTGTGTCTTCCTTGGCTTTGTCCCTGACGCGCCTGGTTGGCAGTTTTACCACCCCACCTCGCGCCGTGTCTTTGCGTCTCAGGACGTCACGTTCGACGAGTCGGTTCCCTTTTACCGTCTCTTCCCCTACCGCACTGCCCCTCTCCCTCCCCCGCCGCTCTTCCTCGCTCCAGGTGCTCCCCAGGTCGACCCTCTCCCCGCTCCAGGTCCTGCTCCCTCAGGTGTGTCTCAGGTAGACCCTCCTCCCTTCCCTGCGCCGGTTGAGGTCACTGGTGACTCAGGTCCTGCTGGGGGTGGTCCTGCTCGGGGTGCTACTTCTGGGGGTGCTGAGTCTGGGGGTGCTGAGCCTGGGGGTGCGGAGCCTGGGGGTGCGGAGCTTGAGGGTGTAGAGCCTGGAGGTGCTGAGCCTGAGTGTGAGGGGTCTGGAGGTGCTGGAGCTGGTGGTTCTGGGGCTGCTGAGGGTGCTAGCGCTGGAGGTTCTGGAGCTGCTGGAGGTCCTGGTGCTGGTGGCGCTGGAGCTGCTGAGGGTGCTGGCGCTGAGGGTTCAGAGTCTGCTGTTGCGCGGTCTCCTTGGAGTAGCCGCCTTCGTCCACGTGTGCCTCTCACCTCGCAGCAGCTGCACGACTGGTACGGTCGCCGTCAGGGTCGCGCTGCTGGAGCCCGGGGCTCTACTGCTGGAGGTACTTCTGCTGCCGTCCCTGGCGCTAGGAGTGGTGCTGGTACTGTTTCTACTGGAGGTGCTGGAGTCGCTGGTCCCGGAGGTGCTCGTACTGGAGGTACTGGAGCTGCTGGGGCTGGGGGTGCTGCGTCTGGAGGTGCTGCTGCTGGAGACACCGAGGCTGGAGACCCTGGGACTGGAGGTGCTGGTTCTGGGGGTGCTGCTACTGGAGACGTGGAGGCTGGAGACCCTGGGACTGGAGGTGCTGGTTCTGGGGGTGCTGCTGCTGGAGACGTGGAGGCTGGAGACCCTGGGACTGGAGGTACTGGTTCTGGGGGTGCTGCTGCTGGAGGCACTGGGGTTGGAGACCCTGGGCCTGGAGGTGTCGGTTCTGCTGCTGGAGCTTCTGGAGCTGCTGGAGGTGCTGGAGCTGCTGGGGGTACTGGAGCTGCTGGAGCTGCCGGTTCTGGTGCAGCTGCGCCGCCACGACTGTTCTTCGCTCCGCCGTCTCCGTCGTCTCTGCCGCTGCCTGACTCTGTTCTTCGTCAGGTTCTTACTCTCCCGTCGTCTACTGGTCTTCCGTTACAGCCTGGCTCACCGCTGCCTGCTCCTTCTCCTTACACTAAGCAGACTGGTAGTCTTGCTGAGCGTCGTGAGCCTGCGTCGCGTCCTGTCTCGCCTGTTCGTCCTAGTCGTACCGGTCGTCGTGTTCCGCGTCCGCGTTCGCCGCCTGTCCCCACCGCACACCTTGTCGTCCGTCGTCCTTCCTCTGTTCCGCAGTCTGTTTCTCTGCCGTCTCCTCCTGCGTCTTCCTTGCCTCACGTTCCGGACCCTGAGTCTGACCGGTTTCGTGCTGAGCACCCTACTGTCACGCGTCTGCTCGCCACTGTTGTCACTGACCCCTCGTTTGAGTCTGCTGCTGCGACAGCTTTGGTTGCTGAGCTTGTTGACTTTGCGGCTGCCTGTCGTCTAGACTACGCTGCTAGTCTTGTCGCTGAGTCTGAGTCTGTCTGTCCTCCGTCCGTCGGGGGTGAGTGTGCTCTTAGCACGGACGTCCTTGAGGACAGGCACGAGGACCTTGAGTGTCTTGCAGCCGCTGCGCCTCATCTCGTGACCATGCTGCTTGCCCCTGAGGGAGACCCGGATGCACTAGACATCCCCACCCCGCGCTCGTACGCTGAGGCGGTCGCGGGTCCCTACTCCTCTCAGTGGCAGGCAGCCATGGACGCAGAGATGGCATCCTGGAAGTCCACAGGCACCTACGTCGACGACGTTCCCCCTCCTGGGGCGAACATCGTCAGTGGCATGTGGATTTTCAGGGTGAAGCGGCCGCCTGGTTCTCCGCCTGTCTTCAAGGCACGTTACGTTGCTCGAGGCTTCAGTCAGCGAGAGGGGGTTGACTTCTTCCAGACCTTCTCCCCCACCCCGAAGATGACCACTCTTCGGGTACTGCTGCACGTTGCCGCCCAGCGTGACTACGAGCTTCACTCGCTTGACTTCAGCACAGCTTTCTTGCAGGGCAGCCTGCACGAGGAGATCTGGCTGCGCCGCCCACCTGGCTTCACTGGGTCGTTCCCTCCTGGTACCCAGTGGAGCCTCCGCCGGCCAGTCTACGGTCTCCGTCAGGCGCCTCGTGAGTGGCACGACACACTGAGGACTACGCTTGCGGCTCTCGGGTTTGCGCCCTCCACAGCTGACCCGTCACTGTTTCTGCGCACCGACACTTCGCTGCCGCCGTTCTACATCCTCGTGTACGTCGACGACTTGGTCTTTGCCACTGCTGACACTGAGGCTCTCGCCCTGGTGAAGTCCGAGCTGCAGAAGAGACACACGTGCACAGATCTGGGTGAGCTGCGCAGCTACCTTGGCTTGCAGATCACCCGGGACAGAGCACGTCGCACCATCACTCTGACTCAGTCACACATGGTGCAGCAGGTCCTTCAGCGCTTCGGCTTCACCTGGTCCTCGGCACAGTCCACTCCTCTGGCTACAGGTCACTCGCTCTCAGCTCCACCTTCGGACGAGTCCGTAGAGCCGAGTGGTCCTTACCCAGAGCTAGTAGGCTGCCTCATGTACCTGATGACTTGCACTCGTCCTGACCTTGCGTACCCTCTTGGCCTTTTGGCCCGCTACGTGGCTCCTGGTCGGCACCGAAAGGTGCACTGGGATGCTGCGAAGAGGGTACTGCGCTACTTGTGCAGTACATCGGGCATGGGGCTCGTGCTTGGAGGACGGCGAGAGGTGGTCCTCACTGGGCACTCAGACGCGTCTTGGGTTGACGACCAGGCTACACAGCGGTCGTCACAGGGTTACACTTTCAGCCTCGGCTCTGGTTCTGTTTCGTGGCGTTCTACTCGCTCGTCTTCTGTTCTCAGCTCCAGTTGTGAGGCTGAGATCTACGCCACCGCCATGGCTGCTCAGGAGCTGCGCTGGCTCACGTACCTGCTGACCGACCTGGGAGAGCGGCCTCGTTCTCCTCCAGTTCTGTACGTTGACAACAAGGCTGCCATTGCCTTGTGTGAGGAGCACAGACTGGAGCACAGAACGAAGCACATCGCTCTGCGTTACTTCCTGGCTCGAGAGTTGCAGCAGCGTGGTCAGCTTCGTCTTGCACACGTGGCCACTCGGGCCAACACTGCTGATATATTCACCAAGGCACTTCCGTCTGGTGATCATCAGCGCTTTTGTACCTTGTTGGGCCTTGTGCCTACGTTTCCACACTTGCTGTAGACTCTGCCTGTACTGTGATCTTTATATATATATATACCTGCATGCTTGCTCTTGCTAGGTAGTGATCACTGTACTTTGTTTGTTGCATATATACCTCTGCATGTGGACAGGCCTTGTGGCCCTTTGCTTGTGCTCAGTGTGTGTGGTGACGTTGTGATCCACCCTGAGCTTGTTTTGTTTCTCTTGACTGGTCTTGTGACCCCTTGTTCTCCCCCACTTTGCCTATGGGGGTGTGTCAAACTATGCATATTGTGTTTGTGTAGGCTGCTAGTGGGGTAGCCCATATGGGGTACAACCCAATGTTAGGGTTAGCTTATGTACCCAACACTTCATCAATGCATCTCATTCCTGCTGTCAGATTCTAACACCAAGGTGCGGCAATAACTGCTCCTGCTCGTGCCAAATGCAATGGCCCTGGTGCAGGGGAGTGCTCTGCTCTCCAATAAAGCCGAATAGAAGCACCGCCAATTTTGATGCAAGCGGATGAGCATGGGGCCCCGTAGCGATGCAATGCAATGCTAGAAATAATTGCTCAATCCGCTTGCCTTCTTCAAAGTGCGGGCTTCAGCTGCGTGCTCTCTGTTTCCTTCCTAAGTTTTCCAGCATAAAAGTTGATTTCTATAGAGAGTTGAAAGCTACACGCACAACAAACATCAAGAGAAGACAGGCGTAGCAAATTGTGTGATACAATAAAGGCAACTTCCACCTTCTCCTTTGCCTAAAGCTTCACCCTATCATCTCACCTGCTTCACGCCCTTAGCCCCTAATGCTGCCCTCGTCTGAGGTCCTGTCTGAACCTCCCCTAGCTATATCTTGTTAATTCAGGCCAAACAACCCCATCTCCCCTCTTCCGTTCCTCAAACCACGACATTTGTTGCCATGCACATCCCAGCCTGCATCGGCAATCCCTCCATCTCTTCATCGCCGTCTCCCATTTCGCCACCACCTGCCATCTCCACCTCTCCGCCCATCATTCCAACCTCCTCCACCCACTCGTCCAGAGGGCCCCTTGCATCCACCCCTTGCCATGCCTCCATTCCCGCTACAAGCAGCCCCGGTGCCTCATGAGTCTCTTCAACAGCCTCTTTGCCTTCAGCCTCTTCCATTCTTTGGTACGGCTCAGTGCTTTTTCCGTCTGCACCTGCAGCACTACCTGTCACGCTGTGCACTGAGCTCCCGATTATGTGCACTGCAGCAGCCGTAGCACCTAGTGCGGGCGTCACTGTAGCACCAAGTGCGGGCGTCACTGTAGCACCAAGTGCGGGCGTCACTGTAGCACCAAGTGCGGGCGTCACTGTAGCACCAACTGCAACATTCTCCCTCGGCCCGTGCAACAGCAGTCCTTGGTGCTTACAGGCACCTCCTGTGCTCCCCACTGCACCCCTCCTTCCGGTACTCTTGCCTGCGGCATCACATTCTTCTTCTTTCCCTTCCTGCCTCGCCTCCACCCTCTTCTGCCCTTGCTGCTGCGTCTGCTCACGCCTTGTCTTTTTCTGCTGGTGCTGCCGCACAAGGGCCTGCAAGGGAAGGTCGTCATCAGAATCCTCCTCTTTCACTGCACCCTGCTGCTGCAGTTTTTGCGCTTGCTGCTGCTGATGATGATTTTGCGTTTGTTGCTGCTGCTTCTCATGCTGCTGCTTCTCATGCTGCAGAGGCGGTTGAGCAGGCTCACAGACAGCTTGCTGTAATGGAGCGGCCGTTTGAGAGACCCTGGGCAACACAGTGGTTTCAGGGGACCTCTTCTTTTGAGTTGACAGCAGCACAGCAGCCTCAACGGGCTGTGTGCTTGCCCCAGAACCCCCGTGGCCATCAGCCAGCATCAGCAGACCACTCTTGAGAGCATGTGAGTGCTGTGACGCCCGCTGCTGGCAGTAGCGGTGAAGGCGGGAGCACCGGCCCTGCTGCCGCCCCTCCTTCAGTCGCAGGGCAATACGCCTCTTCCACTCCTCTATGCTCGCCACCCATGGTGTTGCCTCCACCCCGCCCGCAGGCTCGGGCTCGGAATCGAGCCTGGTAGGTTCGGTATCAGGCTTGTGCCGGGGATATAGTTGTTCAGCGCCTCCATCTTTCCTGTCTGTTTCATGTCCAACTTCTTCTCCCTTTTCTTTCTGCTGCTGTCTCTGCTCGTATTGCTGTAACTGTCTTTCCAGATCTGCCTGCTCCTCACTCTCCCCTGCCTGCTCCTCACTCTCCCCTGCGTCTCCTTTACCCCCAGCCTCCTCCTCCCCTCCCTGCCTCTCCTCCTGCTCTCTCTTCTCCCTCTCCTCCCTCTCCCTCCTCTCCCTCTCCCTCTCTGCCTCCTCTGCTGCAGCCAGCACAGGGTGGCACGCCTCTTCCCTCTCCACCACTGCAAACCGCACTCCCCGCTTCCTCCACCCCTTTTTCTTCCCTCCCTTGCCCTCCGCTCTCGCCTCCCCATCCCCACCCGTCCCCGTCTCAGCCCCTCGCCCCTCATCCACAGTCTGCTGCCCCCCTCCCATGTGAGCGCTTGCCTGAGCGCCCATGTGAGCGCCCGCCTGAGCGCCCGGGAAGGAGTAGTCGTGGCGGAGGCGGTCACAGAAGTTAAGCAGCTCACCGATGCCTGTTCCCCGCACCCACCCGTACCGCTCCAACCGCCCCGCCTCCTCCTCTGACAGGTCCACTCCCACCTGCCGGACAGAAAAGGAATAGGGGAGTGAGGGAAGTTCTGGAACTGCGGAGGCACACAAGGTGGGCTGGAATCGAAGGCTTGCAGGAGAAGGTGGCAAGAGGGGCATGTGTACACTGCCCTTCTGCACGTTTGTGGCCTACAAGGATCACCATGACCCCTTGAGAGATCAATGCTGCATTGGACAGGAACAGGAAACTTGTGAACAAAAGTACTAGATTGTCAAGGTAGACTTTAGAGTCGACTGAGAAAGTATGGACCAGCCAGTTCAATGTCTGCGGACCTCGAGGGGCAGGTTGGTGATGACGTCGATGCGCGACACGGAGGCGGCGCCAAAGACAGCGAGCAGGCGCTGCAGCTGCCAGCGCACCGCCACCCCCGCCTCGAGCTCAAAGAAGTAGGTCGCCTTGCCGTACTCTGGCGCTTCCAGTATGATCCTGGCAGGGCAGTGGCACAGTGGGGGGTGCAGCAGTGTGGTGGTAGGTGCAGCAGTATGAAGGGAGGTGCAGCAATATGGCTTTTGAGTCGACTAGAACGTCCCCCGCTTCCAGCTGAAAGAAGTAGGTGGCCTTGCCGTACTCTGGAGCCTCCAGAATGATCCTGCCGGACAGCAGATGCAGGCGAGATGGGTACAAGGGGAACGGGGGGACAGGTCCAACAGGGCAGGTATAGGGGGCAGAGGGGGCAGGTATAGGGGGAAGGTAAACGGTGGGCGCAGGATGGAAGGCAGGTAGAGGGGAGCAGGGATAGAGTGAGTGAGGGTAGTGCAGGGAGGCTCGATGACATTGCATGAGCAACGGGTTCCAAGGGTACAGTCAGAATGTTGAGGAAAAGGGGTTTCATGCCAGCTCACCCGTTATGGTCGTGTCATCTTAACTGTTATGGTCGTGTCATCTCAAATGTTATGGAAGTGTCATCGCAACTGTTGTGGTCGTGTCATCTCAATGCTATGGTCGTGTCATCTCGTGTCACCTCACCTGTTGTGGTCTGGGAAGACAAAGAGGAAGCAGCGAATTGCCCCACACCATCCCCACGACACCTGCCACCCTGCCTGCTGCACCGCGTGCGCCTGAAAAGAGATAGGGGTGGCAGAAGATGGTGAGAAGGATGGGGCGTGTGGAGAGAGGAGGTAGAGCGAGAGCGGGGAGAGAGGGAAAGGTGGGACACGAGGACAGGAATAGCATGACGAAACACCACTTGTACCACCTATTTAGTATCACACTCTCCAAGGCAGAAGCCAAGCAGCAAAGCACGGCAGAGGACAGTCAGTCCTCTAGAATTCAAAAGCACGCACCTGGGTGATGAGAGCAACAAGGTTCTCCACGCAGTACGCTGGGCGATTCCACCCTGCGGCTCCGCCCCCTGCACCGCCCACCTGCCCGGGCAGGCGCTCCCACGTGTGCGAGTACAGCTGTGAGGCAGTGGGAGGGGGAGAGGGTGTAAGGGTAATGGGATGGGAGTGCTTTTGAGACGTCTCAAAAGGCACCCACGTGTGCGAGTAGAGCTGTCGGGCGGGGGTGGAGGGGTTGCAGAAGTATCGGGAGGAAGTTGGAGAGGAGAGATGGAGAGAGGGGTGAAACAGTTGAATAAGAGCGAGCAGGAGAGACAAGAGCAAATGGCATCTTCTCGCCAAGCCCAAGCACATGCGCAATTGTAGACGTCCGCACTATACACGCAGACGATCCCATGTTCAAGCGATTTAGGCGCCTGTAAGCAGCCGGTTTCCATGCACGCAGCAAGAAACAAGTCGCCCAAGGAAGTTGCTTGGTGAGTCGTAGAAGCCACTGTGAGGGGATGTTTGGAATTCTCGAAAGCCTGTGGCAGGGGAATCAGTACCCTGGAGAGAATCCTCTGCAGATCGGAGAAGTCAGAGGGAACGGCCGCTGGGGCTGATGCTGCTCCATCTGCTGCGGCTGCTCCTGCTACTCCTGCTGCTGCTGCTGTTGCTGCTGCCGCTTGTCGAGTTGCCACAGCATCACCACCACCGTCACCACCACCAGCAGCGCCAACATCACCAGAGCGAGTGCGCTCAAGCTCTGCCCAAACGCCAGGCCCAGCACCCGTTCCCCCCTCACCCAACTGCATCTCACACCCCGCCTGCCCCTCGCCTTCCCCCCCATCCACCCCATCCACCCCCATCTCCCCCCTCCCCTGCTCTGCCGCCATGCTCAAGTCAGTCCCACCGACCCCGACACCCGTCTGACCGGCCGTCTGCTCTCCTGCTGCTGCTTCTGCTGCTTCCGCTGTTTCTGCTGCTTGCATGAAGGCGAGGTCGAAGAGCTGGATGCCTTGCAGCAGCCCCCTCTGCTGCAGCACCTGCAGTAGCCCTGGTGCTTCCGACTCCAACGCTTCCGCTGCTGTGCCGTGGCTGATTTTTTAGGAGGGGAAGGGGAGAGGGGGGAGAGGAAGGGGTGTTGAGGGGGGGATTGGGGGGGGTTGATAGGGGAGAGGAAGAGGCGAGGTCGAAGAGCTGGATGCCTCGCAGCAGCCCCCTATGGTGCAGCACCTGCAGCAGCCCCGGTGCTTCCGACTCCAATGCTTCCGCTGCTGTGCCGTGGCTGATCGGTGGGGGTAGAGGGCGGAGGGAGGAGAGAGAGAGAGGAGGTTAGAGGGGGCAGGGGAGGACGGGCGGGGAGAGAAAGGGAAAAGGTGGAGAAGGTGTTGTTGGGAGGAAAACAGAGGGTTGAGCAGCGATTCGATACTGCTGGCTGTGATTGGCTGGCTGGAGAGACGATAGGAGCATGCGGACAAGAGGAGAGGTCGAAGGGAAAAAGAAGGGGGGAGTGGGGAAGAGAGGAGAGGGAAGTGGAAAAGCTATGAATTCGCAGAGAAGAGAGAGATAAGGAGGAGGGGAGAGCAGAAGAGCGGAGGCAGAGAAGGAGGGATCACACACATGGTTCACACACATGGTTCACACACATGGTTCACACACATGGTTCACACACATGGTTCACACACATGGTTCACACGCCTCACCAGGCATTGCAGGTTGGTGTGCTCACCTCTTTCCTTCCTTGCCCTCGTTTGTCCCTGCTTCCGCTGCTGCTGCCTTTGCAGCCGCCTTCCTCTTTCTCTTCTGCTTCCTTTTCCACGCTGCCCCCTTCCCCTCTCCCTGTCCCTGCCCCTGCCCCTGCCCCTGTCCCTGTCCCTGTCCCTGCCCCTGATCCTGCTTCTGTTCGTCATAGCCCCCTAGTCCCTCATCCATCGCACCTCCCAATCCCTGCCTTGTTCCCTCCACACCTCCACCATACCCATCCCCCATCCCACCCTCAGGGCCTCCTACCTGGTACTCTGCATCCCCACCCACAGCCTCCATTTTCACTGCCACCCTGCACTCTTGCACGCCCGGCACGTCTGCACCTGCCTCTGCTGCTGCCTGTGCTGTACCTGCTTCTGCAGTCACCACTGCTTCGACCTTGGTTCCTTCTCCGATTGTTGCTGCTGCTGATCCAGAGGCTCCTGCATCAGCAGCAGCACCACCGTTCAGCAGCACCCTCCCAGCATCACCATCACTATCTACGCCCATTCGCAACCCTTCCCACTCCTCCGTCTCCTGCTTCGGCCTTCTCTGCTCCCCCCAAGCTAGACGCCCTGCCTCCTGCCCCAACCCCTCCCCACATGACTCCCCCCTCGCTCCTTCCCCTTCTCCCACGTCCCCTCCACCTGCCTGCGGCCCTCCTCCTCTGCCATCCCTCGCACTGCCATCCCTTGCACTGCCATCCCTCGCACTGCCATCTGGCAACACAGACGCTGCAGGATGGGGAGGTGGCAACGCCAGGGGGAGATTATCAGCAGCACCAGGAGCAGGAGGGGAAGCGCCAGGAGCATGACCCCCCGTGAACACCTCGCCTTGCCCGCTTGCGCCTGCACGACCCCAGTTGAGTCCACACGAGAGCAGCAGCTCCTGCCTCTGCCTCTTCGCCTTGGCCCTCCTCTTCTTCCTCCCATTCCCCCCTGCTCTCCCCGTATCCGCACCCCCCTCCCACCCACCCCCGCGCTGCTGCTCCCCACTCTGCTGCTCCCCCTTGTGTTGCTCCTCCTTTTTCAGCTCCCCCTGCTGCACCTCACCCCACCGCTGAGCCAAGCCACTCTCCCCCATGCCCCACCCTGACCTCCCCTGAGCACACGAACCACCCCCCCTTGCCCATCCCTCCCCGCTCCCTTCCCTGCCCCACTGATTCTCCCCACCTCCTCGCCCCCATCCACCCTCGCTCACTCCTCCTGTCATCCCCTCCCCATCCACTCCCCATCCTCCCTCTCCTCCCCCTCTCCATCTCTTTCTCTCACCTCCTGATTCCTCCTCTCGTTCACTTCCCCATCCACCTTCCCTTCCCCCACCCCATCCCTCCTCAAATCTCTCTCTCAATTCGGCCTGCTCTCCCTCACCCCAACCCTCCTCTTTTACCCTCTTCAATACTCCCTCTCCCAATCCACCACCTCCTTCCCTTTCCAATCCTCCCTCTCCCCATCCCCCCTCTCCTCCTACTCCTGCCCTTCCCCATCCCCCTCTCCCTCTCCTCCTGCCCTTCCCCATCCCTCCTCTTTCACATCCACAAGGCCAGCAGAAACCTTCGTGACAGATCTTTGAGGATTCTCGAAAACCCGTCCCTCACTCCCATCCCTCCCCTCTCCCTCCATCGCCCCCTCTCTAGACCCCTCCTCTCGTGCCACTCCTCCACCCCTCGCCACAGCCCCATTTTGACCTCCCAACCTCGTGTCCTCCTTTATCTCTTCCTCTGCCTTTCCCCCACCGACCTCTCCTCCCTCTGCTGCCCCCCCAGGGCCTCCCATGCCCTCCTTGCGCTGCTGCACTGCATCCGCCCCTCCTGCTTTCGCCTCAACTTCCACCTTTAGCGCCTCCTTGCCTCTTTTCTCTGCAACTCCGTCTGCATTAACTTCCCCTGCCATTCCCGGCCCTATTTGTCCCTGCTGCTCCTCCCTCTCCTCTGCCAACCCTCGTCTCTCCTCCACCTTCCCCCCCTCCCCCCCTGACTCCACCTCTCTTGCCCCCACCACCTCCACTCGCTTCTCACCCTCCTCCACGCCAGCAGCACCAGCACCAGCATCAGTAGCAGCATCTTGAGTAGCAGCATCATCAGTAGCAGCAGCACCAGCAGCAGCACCAGCACCACCACCAGCACCACCACCAGCACCAGCAGCACCATCAGCTAAACCAGCGGCACCAACACCAACAACAACAGCAGCAGCAGCAGCAGCAGCAGTCAGCATCATCTAAGCTCACATCACAACTCCCCTCACCCACACCCCTGTCCCCTCCACTGCCTCCCCCCTCGTGCAACCCCACAAGCCCCTCCTTGCTGCCCCCTCTTTCCACATCTCCTGGCCCATCACCTCCTCCAATTTCCCCATCCTTTCCAGGCGACCCAGCAACCACATGTGTTCCTTCATCCGTTGCCGATGTGCCCCCTTGCTCCTTTTCTTGCATTCCCTGCCCCTGCCCCTGCCCCTGCCCCTGCCCCTGCCCCTGCCCCTGCCCCTGCCCCTGCCCCTGCCCCTGCCCCTGCCCCTGCCCCTGCCCCTGCCCCTGCTGCTGCTGCTGCCCCTGCCCCTGCCCCTGCCCCTGCCCCTGCCCCTGCCCCTGCCCCTGCCCCTGCCCCTGCCCCTGCCCCTGCCCCTGCCCCTGCCCCTGCCCCTGCCCCTGCCCCTGCCCCTGCCCCTGCCCCTGCCCCTGCCCCTGCCCCTGCCCCTGCCCCTGCCCCTGCCCCTGCCCCTGCCCCTGCCCCTGCCCCTGCCCCTGCCCCTGCCCCTGTGCCCCGCCCCCTCGTGCAGTCCACCCGATGGCCTGCAGGTGCAGGCGGTGCTGAGCCCATGCCTGCTGAAGAGCTCTCTCCCGTCCTGCCAGCTCCCTCTCCACTTCAAACACCTGTCTCTGCTGCGCCGCCACTGCTGCCTGGGAGCGGGATGAGCAACATGGGAGCAAGGGGGTGGATGCGTCAAACTTGTGAATGGGACAACCACATTTAGGTGCTGCGCCCAAGCCTGCTGCAAAGCCCTCTCCCGCCCCGCCAGCTCGCGCTCCACCTCAAACACCTGCCTCTGCTGCGCCGCCACCACTGCCTGGAGGGTTCAGAAATACGTTGAGCACCTTTTGGGACGTCTCAAAATTCGTTGAGCACCTTTTGAGACGTCTCAAAATACGTTGAGCACCACGGGCGGAAGCAGTTGGATGCATCAGTTGCTTATGGAAGGGACAAATACAGGAGCTTGTTTGGCATGACAGTGCAAAGAACTTACACATGCGGTGCGGTGCGGTATATACAGGAGTTGGTTTGGTATGGCAACGCAGTGTAAGTGGAGTGAAGGCCATTCTTGCACGCTACGCTGGCTGACCAGCCTTACCCCTCCCGCTGCACATCCCTCACCTGGTTTGCCTGCTGGTAGCTGCACATCCCTCACCTGGTTTGCCTGCTGGTAGCTGCACATCCCTCACCTGGTTTGCCTGCAGCTGCACATCCCTCACCTGGTTTGCCTGCAGCTGCACATCCCTCACCTGGTTTGCCTGCTGGTAGCTGCACATCCCTCACCTGGTTTGCCTGCAGCTGCACATCCCTCACCTGGTTTGCCTGTAGCTGCACATCCCTCACCTGGTTTGCCTGCAGCTGCACATCCCTCACCTGGTTTGCCTGCAGCTGCACATCCCTCACCTGGTTTGCCTGCAGCTGCACATCCCTCACCTGGTTTGCCTGTAGCTGCACATCCCTCACCTGGTTTGCCTGTAGCTGCACATCCCTCACCTGGTTTGCCTGTAGCTGCACATCCCTCACCTGGTTTGCCTGTAGCTGCACATCCCTCACCTGGTTTGCCTGTAGCTGCACATCCCTCACCTGGTTTGCCTGTAGCTGCACATCCCTCACCTGGTTTGCCTGCAGCTGCACATCCCTCACCTGGTTTGCCTGCAGCTGCACATCCCTCACCTGGTTTGCCTGCAGCTGCACATCCCTCACCTGGTTTGCCTGCAGCTGCACATCCCTCACCTGGTTTGCCTGCAGCTGCACATCCCTCACCTGGTTTGCCTGCAGCTGCACATCCCTCACCTGGTTTGCCTGTAGCTGCACATCCCTCACCTGGTTTGCCTGCAGCTGCACATCCCTCACCTGGTTTGCCTGCAGCTGCACATCCCTCACCTGGTTTGCCTGTAGCTGCACATCCCTCACCTGGTTTGCCTGCAGCTGCACATCCCTCACCTGGTTTGCCTGTAGCTGCACATCCCTCACCTGGTTTGCCTGCAGCTGCACATCCCTCACCTGGTTTGCCTGTAGCTGCACATCCCTCACCTGGTTTGCCTGTAGCTGCACATCCCTCACCTGGTTTGCCTGTAGCTGCACATCCCTCACCTGGTTTGCCTGTAGCTGCACATCCCTCACCTGGTTTGCCTGCAGCTGCACATCCCTCACCTGGTTTGCCTGTAGCTGCACATCCCTCACCTGGTTTGCCTGTAGCTGCACATCCCTCACCTGGTTTGCCTGCAGCTGCACATCCCTCACCTGGTTTGCCTGTAGCTGCACATCCCTCACCTGGTTTGCCTGTAGCTGCACATCCCTCACCTGGTTTGCCTGTAGCTGCACATCCCTCACCTGGTTTGCCTGTAGCTGCAAATCCCTCACCTGGTTTGCCTGTAGCTGCACATCCCTCACCTGGTTTGCCTGTAGCTGCACATCCCTCACCTGGTTTGCCTGTAGCTGCACATCCCTCACCTGGTTTGCCTGTAGCTGCACATCCCTCACCTGGTTTGCCTGTAGCTGCACATCCCTCACCTGGTTTGCCTGTAGCTGCACATCCCTCACCTGGTTTGCCTGTAGCTGCACATCCCTCACCTGGTTTGCCTGCAGCTGCACATCCCTCACCTGGTTTGCCTGTAGCTGCACATCCCTCACCTGGTTTGCCTGCAGCTGCACATCCCTCACCTGGTTTGCCTGTAGCTGCACATCCCTCACCTGGTTTGCCTGTAGCTGCACATCCCTCACCTGGTTTGCCTGCTGGTAGCTGCACATCCCTCACCTGGTTTGCCTGCTGGTAGCTGCACATCCCTCACCTGGTTTGCCTGCAGCTGCACATCCCTCACCTGGTTTGCCTGCAGCTGCACATCCCTCACCTGGTTTGCCTGCAGCTGCACATCCCTCACCTGGTTTGCCTGCAGCTGCACATCCCTCACCTGGTTTGCCTGCAGCTGCACATCCCTCACCTGGTTTGCCTGCAGCTGCACATCCCTCACCTGGTTTGCCTGTAGCTGCACATCCCTCACCTGGTTTGCCTGCAGCTGCACATCCCTCACCTGGTTTGCCTGTAGCTGCACATCCCTCACCTAGTTTGCCTGTAGCTGCACATCCCTCACCTGGTTTGCCTGCAGCTGCACATCCCTCACCTGGTTTGCCTGTAGCTGCACATCCCTCACCTGGTTTGCCTGTAGCTGCACATCCCTCACCTGGTTTGCCTGTAGCTGCACATCCCTCACCTGGTTTGCCTGTAGCTGCACATCCCTCACCTGGTTTGCCTGTAGCTGCACATCCCTCACCTGGTTTGCCTGTAGCTGCACATCCCTCACCTGGTTTGCCTGTAGCTGCACATCCCTCACCTGGTTTGCCTGTAGCTGCACATCCCTCACCTGGTTTGCCTGTAGCTGCACATCCCTCACCTGGTTTGCCTGCAGCTGCACATCCCTCACCTGGTTTGCCTGTAGCTGCACATCCCTCACCTGGTTTGCCTGCAGCTGCACATCCCTCACCTGGTTTGCCTGTAGCTGCACATCCCTCACCTGGTTTGCCTGTAGCTGCACATCCCTCACCTGGTTTGCCTGCTGGTAGCTGCACATCCCTCACCTGGTTTGCCTGCTGGTAGCTGCACATCCCTCACCTGGTTTGCCTGCAGCTGCACATCCCTCACCTGGTTTGCCTGCAGCTGCACATCCCTCACCTGGTTTGCCTGCAGCTGCACATCCCTCACCTGGTTTGCCTGCAGCTGCACATCCCTCACCTGGTTTGCCTGCAGCTGCACATCCCTCACCTGGTTTGCCTGTAGCTGCACATCCCTCACCTGGTTTGCCTGTAGCTGCACATCCCTCACCTGGTTTGCCTGCAGCTGCACATCCCTCACCTGGTTTGCCTGTAGCTGCACATCCCTCACCTGGTTTGCCTGTAGCTGCACATCCCTCACCTGGTTTGCCTGCAGCTGCACATCCCTCACCTGGTTTGCCTGTAGCTGCACATCCCTCACCTGGTTTGCCTGTAGCTGCACATCCCTCACCTGGTTTGCCTGTAGCTGCACATCCCTCACCTGGTTTGCCTGTAGCTGCACATCCCTCACCTGGTTTGCCTGTAGCTGCACATCCCTCACCTGGTTTGCCTGTAGCTGCACATCCCTCACCTGGTTTGCCTGTAGCTGCACATCCCTCACCTGGTTTGCCTGTAGCTGCACATCCCTCACCTGGTTTGCCTGTAGCTGCACATCCCTCACCTGGTTTGCCTGTAGCTGCACATCCCTCACCTGGTTTGCCTGTAGCTGCACATCCCTCACCTGGTTTGCCTGTAGCTGCACATCCCTCACCTGGTTTGCCTGTAGCTGCACATCCCTCACCTGGTTTGCCTGTAGCTGCACATCCCTCACCTGGTTTGCCTGTAGCTGCACATCCCTCACCTGGTTTGCCTGTAGCTGCACATCCCTCACCTGGTTTGCCTGTAGCTGCACATCCCTCACCTGGTTTGCCTGTAGCTGCACATCCCTCACCTGGTTTGCCTGTAGCTGCACATCCCTCACCTGGTTTGCCTGTAGCTGCACATCCCTCACCTGGTTTGCCTGTAGCTGCACATCCCTCACCTGGTTTGCCTGTAGCTGCACATCCCTCACCTGGTTTGCCTGTAGCTGCACATCCCTCACCTGGTTTGCCTGTAGCTGCACATCCCTCACCTGGTTTGCCTGTAGCTGCACATCCCTCACCTGGTTTGCCTGTAGCTGCACATCCCTCACCTGGTTTGCCTGTAGCTGCACATCCCTCACCTGGTTTGCCTGTAGCTGCACATCCCTCACCTGGTTTGCCTGTAGCTGCACATCCCTCACCTGGTTTGCCTGTAGCTGCACATCCCTCACCTGGTTTGCCTGTAGCTGCACATCCCTCACCTGGTTTGCCTGTAGCTGCACATCCCTCACCTGGTTTGCCTGTAGCTGCACATCCCTCACCTGGTTTGCCTGTAGCTGCACATCCCTCACCTGGTTTGCCTGTAGCTGCACATCCCTCACCTGGTTTGCCTGTAGCTGCACATCCCTCACCTGGTTTGCCTGTAGCTGCACATCCCTCACCTGGTTTGCCTGTAGCTGCACATCCCTCACCTGGTTTGCCTGTAGCTGCACATCCCTCACCTGGTTTGCCTGTAGCTGCACATCCCTCACCTGGTTTGCCTGTAGCTGCACATCCCTCACCTGGTTTGTCTGTAGCTGCACATCCCTCACCTGGTTTGCCTGTAGCTGCACATCCCTCACCTGGTTTGCCTGTAGCTGCACATCCCTCACCTGGTTTGCCTGTAGCTGCACATCCCTCACCTGGTTTGCCTGTAGCTGCACATCCCTCACCTGGTTTGCCTGTAGCTGCACATCCCTCACCTGGTTTGCCTGTAGCTGCACATCCCTCACCTGGTTTGCCTGTAGCTGCACATCCCTCACCTGGTTTGCCTGTAGCTGCACATCCCTCACCTGGTTTGCCTGTAGCTGCACATCCCTCACCTGGTTTGCCTGTAGCTGCACATCCCTCACCTGGTTTGCCTGTAGCTGCACATCCCTCACCTGGTTTGCCTGTAGCTGCACATCCCTCACCTGGTTTGCCTGTAGCTGCACATCCCTCACCTGGTTTGCCTGTATCTGCACATCCCTCACCTGGATTGCCTGTAGCTGCACATCCCTCACCTGGTTTGCCTGTAGCTGCACATCCCTCACCTGGTTTGCCTGTAGCTGCACATCCCTCACCTGGTTTGCCTGTAGCTGCACATCCCTCACCTGGTTTGCCTGTAGCTGCACATCCCTCACCTGGTTTGCCTGTAGCTGCACATCCCTCACCTGGTTTGCCTGCAGCTGCACATCCCTCACCTGGTTTGCCTGTAGCTGCACATCCCTCACCTGGTTTGCCTGTAGCTGCACATCCCTCACCTGGTTTGCCTGTAGCTGCACATCCCTCACCTGGTTTGCCTGTAGCTGCACATCCCTCACCTGGTTTGCCTGTAGCTGCACATCCCTCACCTGGTTTGCCTGTAGCTGCACATCCCTCACCTGGTTTGCCTGTAGCTGCACATCCCTCACCTGGTTTGCCTGTAGCTGCACATCCCTCACCTGGTTTGCCTGTAGCTGCACATCCCTCACCTGGTTTGCCTGTAGCTGCACATCCCTCACCTGGTTTGCCTGTAGCTGCACATCCCTCACCTGGTTTGCCTGTAGCTGCACATCCCTCACCTGGTTTGCCTGTAGCTGCACATCCCTCACCTGGTTTGCCTGTAGCTGCACATCCCTCACCTGGTTTGCCTGTAGCTGCACATCCCTCACCTGGTTTGTCTGTAGCTGCACATCCCTCACCTGGTTTGCCTGTAGCTGCACATCCCTCACCTGGTTTGCCTGTAGCTGCACATCCCTCACCTGGTTTGCCTGTAGCTGCACATCCCTCACCTGGTTTGCCTGCAGCTGCACATCCCTCACCTGGTTTGCCTGTAGCTGCACATCCCTCACCTGGTTTGCCTGTAGCTGCACATCCCTCACCTGGTTTGCCTGTAGCTGCACATCCCTCACCTGGTTTGCCTGTAGCTGCACATCCCTCACCTGGTTTGCCTGTAGCTGCACATCCCTCACCTGGTTTGCCTGTAGCTGCACATCCCTCACCTGGTTTGCCTGTAGCTGCACATCCCTCACCTGGTTTGCCTGTAGCTGCACATCCCTCACCTGGTTTGCCTGTAGCTGCACATCCCTCACCTGGTTTGCCTGTAGCTGCACATCCCTCACCTGGTTTGCCTGTAGCTGCACATCCCTCACCTGGTTTGCCTGTAGCTGCACATCCCTCACCTGGTTTGCCTGTAGCTGCACATCCCTCACCTGGTTTGCCTGTAGCTGCACATCCCTCACCTGGTTTGCCTGTAGCTGCACATCCCTCACCTGGTTTGCCTGTAGCTGCACATCCCTCACCTGGTTTGCCTGTAGCTGCACATCCCTCACCTGGTTTGCCTGTAGCTGCACATCCCTCACCTGGTTTGCCTGTAGCTGCACATCCCTCACCTGGTTTGCCTGTAGCTGCACATCCCTCACCTGGTTTGCCTGTAGCTGCACATCCCTCACCTGGTTTGCCTGTAGCTGCACATCCCTCACCTGGTTTGCCTGTAGCTGCACATCCCTCACCTGGTTTGCCTGTAGCTGCACATCCCTCACCTGGTTTGCCTGTAGCTGCACATCCCTCACCTGGTTTGCCTGTAGCTGCACATCCCTCACCTGGTTTGCCTGTAGCTGCACATCCCTCACCTGGTTTGCCTGTAGCTGCACATCCCTCACCTGGTTTGCCTGTAGCTGCACATCCCTCACCTGGTTTGCCTGTAGCTGCACATCCCTCACCTGGTTTGCCTGTAGCTGCACATCCCTCACCTGGTTTGCCTGTAGCTGCACATCCCTCACCTGGTTTGCCTGTAGCTGCACATCCCTCACCTGGTTTGCCTGTAGCTGCACATCCCTCACCTGGTTTGCCTGTAGCTGCACATCCCTCACCTGGTTTGCCTGTAGCTGCACATCCCTCACCTGGTTTGCCTGTAGCTGCACATCCCTCACCTGGTTTGCCTGTAGCTGCACATCCCTCACCTGGTTTGCCTGTAGCTGCACATCCCTCACCTGGTTTGCCTGTAGCTGCACATCCCTCACCTGGTTTGCCTGTAGCTGCACATCCCTCACCTGGTTTGTCTGTAGCTGCACATCCCTCACCTGGTTTGCCTGTAGCTGCACATCCCTCACCTGGTTTGCCTGTAGCTGCACATCCCTCACCTGGTTTGCCTGTAGCTGCACATCCCTCACCTGGTTTGCCTGTAGCTGCACATCCCTCACCTGGTTTGCCTGTAGCTGCACATCCCTCACCTGGTTTGCCTGTAGCTGCACATCCCTCACCTGGTTTGCCTGTAGCTGCACATCCCTCACCTGGTTTGCCTGTAGCTGCACATCCCTCACCTGGTTTGCCTGTAGCTGCACATCCCTCACCTGGTTTGCCTGTAGCTGCACATCCCTCACCTGGTTTGCCTGTAGCTGCACATCCCTCACCTGGTTTGCCTGTAGCTGCACATCCCTCACCTGGTTTGCCTGTAGCTGCACATCCCTCACCTGGTTTGCCTGTATCTGCACATCCCTCACCTGGATTGCCTGTAGCTGCACATCCCTCACCTGGTTTGCCTGTAGCTGCACATCCCTCACCTGGTTTGCCTGTAGCTGCACATCCCTCACCTGGTTTGCCTGTAGCTGCACATCCCTCACCTGGTTTGCCTGTAGCTGCACATCCCTCACCTGGTTTGCCTGTAGCTGCACATCCCTCACCTGGTTTGCCTGCAGCTGCACATCCCTCACCTGGTTTGCCTGTAGCTGCACATCCCTCACCTGGTTTGCCTGCAGCTGCACATCCCTCACCTGGTTTGCCTGTAGCTGCACATCCCTCACCTGGTTTGCCTGTAGCTGCACATCCCTCACCTGGTTTGCCTGTAGCTGCACATCCCTCACCTGGTTTGCCTGTAGCTGCACATCCCTCACCTGGTTTGCCTGCAGCTGCACATCCCTCACCTGGTTTGCCTGTAGCTGCACATCCCTCACCTGGTTTGCCTGTAGCTGCACATCCCTCACCTGGTTTGCCTGCTGGTAGCTGCACATCCCTCACCTGGTTTGCCTGTAGCTGCACATCCCTCACCTGGTTTGCCTGTAGCTGCACATCCCTCACCTGGTTTGCCTGTAGCTGCACATCCCTCACCTGGTTTGCCTGTAGCTGCACATCCCTCACCTGGTTTGCCTGTAGCTGCACATCCCTCACCTGGTTTGCCTGTAGCTGCACATCCCTCACCTGGTTTGCCTGTAGCTGCACATCCCTCACCTGGTTTGCCTGTAGCTGCACATCCCTCACCTGGTTTGCCTGTAGCTGCACATCCCTCACCTGGTTTGCCTGCAGCTGCACATCCCTCACCTGGTTTGCCTGTAGCTGCACATCCCTCACCTGGTTTGCCTGTAGCTGCACATACCTCACCTGGTTTGCCTGCAGCTGCACATCCCTCACCTGGTTTGCCTGCAGCTGCACATCCCTCACCTGGTTTGCCTGCAGCTGCACATCCCTCACCTGGTTTGCCTGCAGCTGCACATCCCTCACCTGGTTTGCCTGCAGCTGCACATCCCTCACCTGGCTTGCCTGCAGCTGCACATCCCTCACCTGGTTTGCCTGTAGCTGCACATCCCTCACCTGGCTTGCCTGCAGCTGCACATCCCTCACCTGGCTTGCCTGCAGCTGCTTCTCCCTGCGGCACAGATCAGCCACCTAAAGTGAGGGGCGGGGAAGGGAGGGAAAGGGAGGGGAAGGGACGGGAAGGGCCTGGAATGGAGAGAAAAGGAGGAGAAACTCTCAGCTCGCATGCAAGGCTTTAGCAAGTTGACCAAACGACAGAAGAGGGCAAGGACAGAAGAGGGCAAGGACAGAGAGAAGAAGACAGTGTGTGATGTGAACTAAGACATACAGGGAAATTCCACACCCAACCCCCCACCTTACCAGCTCAAGCGGCATACAATCGGCCCACACAACCGCGTAGGCTGCTCCCCGCTGACATGCTCTGCTCATCCGCATCCTTTTAAAATACAGTTTTCTTTTCTCACGCTCTGTCTCTTGCTCACCTTTGCTTGTGAAGCCACTTTCCCGCCACCAGAAGCAGCCAAGGCAGCTGAACCTCTCTGCTTCTGCCACTCCACCTCTCTCGCCCTCACCTTCTCCTCCCGCACCCTCACCACCTCCTCCCTCTCCTTCACTCTCTCCTCCCTCGCCCTCACTCGCTCCTCCCTCTGCGTCACCCCTTCCTCCCTCTCCCCCAATGCTGCTTCTCTGGCTATCACTGCTGCTTGCTGTGCCGCCATTGAACTGGGAGCAAGGAGCGGGGCGAGGGGAGAGGAGAGGGGGGGTAGGAGGGGAGGGGAAAGGAAAGGGGGGGGAGTGGGGGGGGAGGGCAGGGGAGGGGTGGATGGAGAGAGGGATGGAAGGGGGGAGGAGGGGGTTTTGAGACTTCTCCAGCCACGGCTGCCTTGGAGCTGCCACTGCTGCTTGCTGTGCCACGACTGAGCAGGGCGGAGATTGGGCGGAGGGACAGGCCAGGGAGGTGTGCACACGCACGCACGCACGCACGCGCCCCCCCCCTCTCCCCACCCCCACACACACACGCACACACACACATGCAGCCTGCATGAGTCGTAGCTAAAATGCAGGTGCGCTGAGGAGGCCATGATTCCAACAAATAGTGCCTAGTTAACCAAAACGCGTAGTTCTGAGGGACCTCATCCGTGCGACGAGGCTCACACTACGCACCCTGCCGCCACACCACGCCACACCAGCCATGGAGCTCACTTCCATCTGCTGTGGAGTGGCTCTTGAGTCGACTCAAAAGTCACCAGCACCAGGCACGGCACGGCACTCACTCAATTCGCTGCGCCATGCTGACCCGCAGTTGCTGCCACTGCCATGCCACGCCCCACATCCCGCCCTCTCCACTACCGCCCGCCACCGTGTCACGCCACACCAGCCATAATACTTACTCGATCTGCTGTAACATGCTGGCCTGCAGCTGCTGCCACTGCCACGCCACGCCCTCCATCCCGCCCTCACCGCTGCCCTCCCCGACCGTGTCTTCACCCCCCGTGCCCTCCTCGTTGCACCCTGTAACAGCTGCTGTGTCGTGTCACGTCACGTGCATGCACAGACGCGTGCGGTCGCGGGGTGATGGCGGAAAGAGCAGAGCAGAGGGAGGTGTGGTGTGGCATGGCAGAGCAACGGACAGCAACTCCATGATGCAAGAACGCCAATGCGATGCAGCATATCACTACAAGTCAATCTGTCTGTCATGGTGCCACTCATCCGTCATGGCATGCATAGGCTGTCCAACATATCCGCGTTATAGGACCACAGCGTCACACGGCCCCAACAGTACCTGCCGTGGGCACGTTGCTTGGAGGATTGGCAGCGTCAACGGGGACTGGCACTGCGGCCACAGTCCCATCGTCTGCGGCGCAGCCTTGCTGCTGCGCCGCGTTCTGAGCAGCGCAGCTCGCGGGGTCCTCCCTCTCCCCATCCTCCGCTTTCCCGCCCCCCTCCCCTTGCTGCGGCTGTTGCTGACACTCCAGCTGGGGCAGCACCTGGCGGTGCTGAGCGGGTTGCTGGTTCCGCTGCCCGCCTCGCCCTTTGTTCCTCTTGCCCATCCCAGCCTTCCAGAGACCCTGGTAAAGGCGTCTGAACGCCTCACGTGACGACTAGACACCGCAAGTAACGACTTCGACGCCTCAAGTAACGTCTGGAGTCCTGAAGAAGCGACTATTAGACGCCTGAATACTTTTTTTAATCCTACTGCCTGGACGTCTAAAATAGCGTCTAGACGCCTAGAGTTACGTTTAGACGCCTCAAGTATGCATGAAGTCACAGCTAGTAATAGGCGAACAACGTTGTCGCTGCATGCAATCACGCCTAACCCGCGCATAACGAGGCCAAAGTCGTCTGTTAATATCAACAGCCTATCGTTGACACACTAAAGCGTAACTCCTCCACATTTCTCTATCACGCTATCGAGCCTACATACCGCGACCAAGCGAGTCTCCTGGAATTCTGGGTGGCTGAAGAGTGACATAGAAAATTATGCCAGCTGAACCTTTTATGTTGGTAGTTTCGTGATACAGCCTGTAGTCTAATTGGGCAACTCTGCATAACACTGGCTCCTAAGTGTAAGATTATAATCTCTCATTCTAGGCTTACTTTAGAGGGTATGTTTAGAGGGTCTCTCATCAGCTGGTTAGGCCTACATCATCTGCACACATCAGCTGTGGTCCACTTCTGTTCTGAGTCGTCACCATCACTGCGCCTTTCTCCACCTGGTAGAATGAATGTCCATTTTCCATTCGAGTTATCATGCATATCAATTACCCATGATTTTTTTTGTTAATTCTGGCTCATGCCTTTGCTCGCATTGTAAGATTCACATACATTCTGCATACACATACATATACCATTCGTTGTTAAATCAAAACACTTGTCAAAGCTCAATAACACCAGCTTCGTCCATCCTCTATCGCAACAAAGCCGCCTTCGCGAAGGCTCTACAACTCTGTCGAAGTCTCCAGTCTACACGTGGATGGATTGTGCAACACGTGGCACGGGCCTTGCTGAGGTGTGCCCCGCTCGCCTCCCGCGTCCGCCATTTTGCTGCGCAAGGACGCGGAGATATGCGTGAGGCGCAAGCGAGCGAACCGAATTCTCTCTGTTACTTCATCCTACCCGCTTTTCGTGAGCCCTATATATTTCGCCTTCCCACGTCAGATCTGCGTTCTTTGACTGCTCAATTTCCAATTTGCCTCACCTGCCAACAAATCTGCTCCCTAGCTTCTCTGCTTCAACAAATTTGCCTAACCGCATAGTTTTGTAGTTGTTACCATACATGTGCGCAGCCACTCTCGTGCGTCTTGCCAACCGCAGTGTGCCTCGCGTCATGGATACCGTCGCCGCTCGTCTCGCTGCCACACGGCAGGTAGCGCCGGCAGCAGCGCTTCGCTCTCATCCTCGCCGCACTCCCGTCGCAACTCTTAGTTCTCTCTCCCGCGTTGGCCCGCAGCTACTGACACGCTGCCACGTGTCGCCGTCTCCGTCGCATGGCGTTCGCGCAGCGTCGTCGGGCTCCTCGACTCAGCTGTCGTCGGATTTCGTCAACTCGCAGCTGCGACACTTCAGTGGGCGACCCCTGTCACCAGCCCTAGCTCAGTCGCCAGGAGTGGCGCCTCGACGGCGCTTCCACCGTTCTGCACCGTGCCGCGCTGCCGCCAGTGGAGGGAGGGTGAGACTATTACCAGAGCTTAGGTTTTGAGAAGTCTAGGGTTAAGCAGACTCTGAGAAACTGCCTGCCTTAATCTCGTCATTACTGCATAACGTGTTTTTGTGTTTTTTTGTGCTTTCGTTTGGTGTTTACTTATTAGTTTTCTATTCGTGTATATAACGGGGCGTTGCGGCGCGCTGTTCGATGCGCACCTACTTCTGTCAGGCCTTTGACGTCTCCCCCTCACTCTCCCCCCTTTCCCCCGCACACGGTGCGCGCAGATAAGCCAGGGCGAGTTCACGGAGGCGGCGTGGCAGGTGATAATTGCGTCGCCGGAGGTGGCGAAGGAGAGCCGGCAGCAGATCGTGGAGACGGAGCACCTCATGAAGGCGCTGCTGCAGCAGCGCAACGGCCTCGCGCGCCGCATCGTCGCCAAGGCCGGCAGCGACGGCACGGAGCTCCTCGCCGCCACCGACCGCTACATCGCGCGCCAACCCAAGGTGCGTTGTGCGTCGTGTGTTGCTCGTCGCTGGAAAGTTGAGGTGATGCGCGCCGATAAGAGTTTTGAGACGTCTCACATTCCTTCACACCCTCACCCTCCCTCTCGTCTTCCCTTCCCCATCTTCCCCCCGCTCCCTTCCCTTCCTCACCCTCACCCTAGGTCTCGGGCGATTCGAGTCAGATGTTGGGGCGCGATCTGGAGGCGCTGATAGAGCGCGCGCGCGGCTTCAAGGCGAGCATGGGCGACGAGTTCGTGTCCATCGAGCACCTGCTCCTCGCCTTCTGCGGCGACAGGCGCTTCGGCGAGAAGGCGCTGCGCGACGCGGGGTTGTCGCAGGCGGCGCTGGAGAAGGCCGTCGCGGAAGTGCGCGGCTCGCAGAAGGTCACCGACCAACGTGAGTGACCGCACTCCACCTCACCGCACCGCACTGCACCGCACCGTAATGCACTGCACACCGACCAGCGCTAGTGGCCGCACCGCACCACACTGTCCAGATGAATTTTCCTTCCACGCCCTGTTCACCTTCCCCTTCCCCTCTCCCCGTCCCCCCATCTCATCCCTCTCACCCCCTTCTCCCCCCAGAGCCGGAGAACAAGTATGAGGCGTTGGAGCGGTACGGGCGTGATCTGACGGAGATGGCGCGGCAGGGCAAGCTGGACCCCGTGGTGGGGCGCGACGACGAGATCCGCCGCGCCATCCAGATCCTCTCGCGCCGCACCAAGAACAACCCCGTTCTCATCGGCGAGCCTGGCGTCGGCAAGACGGCTATTTCAGAGGGGTGAGTGGCGTGTGGGTGGAGTGTGAAGGGTGAGTGGGGTCTGAGGGGTGAAGGGGTGAGGATTGGAATCGTCACGCTGGTACCATGTTACTTGGTGCTGCCGCTCCGCCCCCACCATCAGCTCCCGAACGGTCTTGCTGCCACGTGTGAACTGTGCCTGTCATCTGTGCGCCCCACTCGCACCCGCTTTCCTCCACTGCTTCACTCACACACACTCACCTCCTGCATCTCTCTCTCCCATCCCCCTGTATGCCTCTTTTGCTGTTGCCAGCTTGGCGCAGCGCATAGTGCAGGGCGACGTGCCAGAGGCGCTTATCAACCGCCGGGTGAGTCAGCACTGCTCCTGCCTGTCTGCCGGTATGTTTTGAGAATTCTCAAAAGTGACACCTGCTCCTGCCCGCCTGCCCGCCTGCTGGCATGCAGCTCACTAACACCTCATGGCAATTTCCACGTCTCTTCACTTCGTATGTTTTTTTAGAATTAAAAAAAAAAAAAAAACATAAGCTCACTAACGCCTCATGGCAGCCTCCACGTCTCTTCACTTCCTATCCCCTCTGGCGCTGCTACTCCTCCTAATCCCGCTTCTTCTTCCCCTTTGCCTTCCCCCATTTGCGCTTGCTTGCGTGCAGCTGATATCGCTGGACATGGGAGCGCTGATCGCGGGAGCCAAGTTCCGGGGCGAGTTTGAGGACCGGCTGAAGGCGGTGCTCAAGGAGGTTACGGACAGCAACGGTGGCATCGTGCTCTTCATTGATGAAATCCACACCGTTGTTGGCGCCGGTGAGTGGATGGGCGCGGGTGAGATGAGTGAGTAGATGGTAGACAGAGGGAGTGGCCAGGGAGGGAGTGGCCAGGGAGGGAGTGGCCAGGGAGGGAGTGGCCAGGGAGGGAGTGGCCAGGGAGGGAGTGGCATTCTGCTCTTCATCGATGAGATCCACACTGTTGTGGGCGCCGGTGAGTGACGGGGTGAGATTAGTGGATGCATGCACAGCTGTGAGAGTGGGGACTCGATCGAAGGGCGTCCGTGCCCTTGCATATTCCATCTCGACTCTTTCTTTTGTTTCTCCAGAGCAATCTGTTAAAGCCCATGTTAAATCTCACTCCTGTCCTCGCCTCCCCCTCCTCCCCTTTCATTCCCCCCCCCCGACCAGGAGCAAGCGAGGGAGCCATGGATGCAGGCAATCTGTTGAAGCCCATGCTGGGTCGCGGAGAGCTGAGGTGCATTGGAGCGACGACGCTGGACGAGTACCGCAAGCACATTGAGAAGGACCCCGCCTTGGAGCGCCGCTTCCAGCAGGTGTATGTGGGACAGCCGTCCGTGCCCGATACTGTCAGCATTCTGCGAGGGCTGAGGGAGCGCTACGAGCTGCACCACGGGGTGCGCATCAGTGACAATGCTCTGGTTGCCGCGGCTACCCTGTCGGATCGCTACATCTCCGACCGCTTCCTTCCGGATAAAGGTGCGGCCGAATGAAGTTGAATTGTGCACGTGTATTCCCAGGTGTGGACAGAAGCTAGTGTGCATCTTCGGTGTCTCAGCTCCTGTGCTAGGGATTTTCCCCGGTTTCCTCTAATTTTCCCCTTCCCATTCACTCATTGCGTGTGCAGCCATCCATCTGGTGGACGAGGCAGCAGCAAAATCAAGATGGAAATCACCAGCAAGCCCACTGCGCTGCGCTGGACGAGTGGCATCGATCTCCAGCAGCTAACAACATTCCCGGTTCTCTCCCCTTCCCCCTCCCCCCAACCCCCTCTTCTTCCTTCCCACATGCAGCGATCGACCTGGTGGACGAGGCGGCAGTGAAGATCAAGATGGAGATCACCAGCAGTCGCACTGCCTTAGACGAGTGGCATTGGTGGGCAGTAGCTAACAACACTCCCGGTTTTCCCCCTTCCACCACCCCCCCCACCCACCACTAATGCAGCGATCGACCTGGTGGACGAGGCAGCAGCAAAGATCAAGATGGAGATCACATCGAAGCCCACGGCACTGGACGAGGTGGACCGTGCCGTGCTCAAACTCGAGATGGAACGCCTCTCCCTCGGCAACGACACCGACAGGTGCCTGCCTGCCTGCCTGCCTGCTTCGCTCTCTTGACCCCCTTTGACTCTGTTGACCTTTTTTACAACCTTGTTGACTCTTCTCAACGTGCTGCATCTTTTGACCGTCAATGTGTTGGTCGCCGCCGCCCACTTATATGCTACCACTCCAACATTCACTTCATCTATCAACCTGTCCTGCTGTTCCCCCTCCCCTCCACACATCCGCCTCCTCCTCTCCTCCCGTCAGGCTGTCCCGCGAGCGCTATGAGCGGCTGGAGAACGAGCTGAAATCCCTCAAGACCCGCCAGGCGGAGCTCACCGAGCAGTGGGAGCGCGAGAAGAGCGTGATGTCGCGCATCCAGAGCATCAAGGAGGAGGTGGACCGCGTGAATGTGGAAATTGGCCAAGCCGAGCGCGACTACGACCTCAACCGCGCCGCGGAGCTCAAGTACGGCAACCTCATCTCGCTGGAAAAGCAGCTCTCCGACGCCGTGGCGGCCCTGAACGAGTACCAGCAGTCGGGGAAGTCCATGCTGCGCGAGGAGGTGACGAGCAGCGATATTGCGGAGGTGGTGGCCAAGTGGACGGGCATCCCGGTGGACAAGCTGCAGGAGTCGGAGAGGGAGAAGCTGCTCAAGCTCGACGACGAGCTCCACAAGAGGCTCATCGGCCAGGAGACGGCCGTGACAGCGGTGGCGGAGGCAATTCAGCGGTCGCGCGCTGGGCTGTCGGATCCCAACCGCCCTATCGCCAGCTTCATGTTCATGGGCCCTACTGGTGAGTGTTCTCCTCATCCACGTGACTTAGCACTTGGAGGAGAATTGTTTTTTACTCGTGCCTCACCTGGCATCTCTTTTCCACCCTTTCCCCTTATCCTCCCCTTCTATTCATGGACGGAGGCAAGACGGAGCTGGTCAAGACGCTGGCAGCATTCCTGTTTGACAGCGAGGAGGCGCTGGTACGAACTGACATGAGCGAGTATATGGAGAAGCATTCCGTGAAGAATGCGGCATCACGCTCTCCCCCTCCTTTCTCCCATGTCCACCTTATGCTCCCCCCAGGTGTGGGTAAAACCGAGCTGGCGAAGTCCCTAGCGGCGTTCCTGTTTGACAGTGAGGAGGCACTGGTACGAATCGACATGAGCGAGTATATGGAGAAGCACTCCGTGTCTCGCCTCATAGGAGCACCCCCGGGCTACGTGGGGTACGAGGAGGGCGGGCAGCTCACAGAGTCGGTGCGGCGGCGGCCGTACTCCGTGGTGCTGTTTGACGAGGTGGAGAGGCGCATGGGGACGTCTTCAACGTCTTCCTGCAGGTGCGCCAGCTCGCCCGCTTCTCTGCTCTTCCGTGACTCGGTTGTTCACTGCTGTGCCTTCATGCATGTGTGCTTCGTCTCGCTTTGCGCATTTTCCTGCCGACCACTGAAACTGCATATTCCCCTTGTGCTCCTCGGCTGTCCCTCCTCCCTCTTCTTCTGGTTCCCGATCTGCCGTTTCTATCCTCCTCCTCACACACACCGTCCTCTCTTCTCCACACACCCCCCCCTGCATGACAGATTCTGGACGACGGGAGGGTGACGGACAGCCAGGGGCGCACGGTGTCGTTCCGCAACACAGTGATCATCATGACGTCCAACGTGGGCTCGCAGTACATCCTGCAGGCGCTCGACCACCAGGCCGCTGACAAGGACGTGCAGTACCAGGTGCGTGCGTGCGTGTGCTGTGTGGGTGCTGGCTGGCATGTGCCGCCTTGTGAATGATTTCATGCGAAGGTCCTTCATGTGTGCTTTCCTGCTGCTTACTTGATTAGTTTCTCCTTCATCCCATGATTGGAACCCCCCTCCTCACACCCCTCCCCCCCCCCCCCCCCCTCCTCACACCCCTCGCCCCCCCCCCCCTCCACACACCCCTCCCCCCCCCCCCTCCACGCACCCCTCACCCCCCCTCTTCACACACAGGTGATGAAGGAGCGTGTGATGGAGTCCACCTTGAGTTCATGAACCGCATCCACGTCTTCATCGTCTTCCAGCCCCCCCGCCCCATCCTGCATTTGCTCATTCAACCCTTCCCTCCACTTCCTCCTTCCCCCGTGCCATGAGCAGGTGATGAAGGAGCGAGTGATGGAATCCGCCCGCGCCATCTTCCGCCCCGAGTTCATGAACCGCATCGACGACTTCATCGTCTTCCAGTCGCTCGACGCCGCGCAGATCACACGCATCGTACGTCTACAGCTGGCGCGCGTGCAGCAGCGCCTCAAGGACCGCAAGATCCGCCTCCATGTCACCGACGCCGCCGTCGACCACCTCGGCCACCTGGGCTATGACCCGGCGTACGGTGCGCGCCCGGTGAAGCGGGTGATTCAGCATGAGGTGGAGAATGAGCTGGCCAAGGGGATTCTGAGGGGGGATTTCGGGAGGACGATGTGGTGGTCGTGGATACGGAGATTGTGGTGGGGAGTGCAGGTGGGGTGCCGACGACGCGACTCAAGTTTACGGCGGAGCATGGAGGGGCGTTCAGTGGTGGGGAGAGTGATGCCGAGGCAAGGAGCAGGCCAAGAGCCTGTTTGCTTAGTCTGGGATGCGCGGGCGAGACTTGTTTTAGAATTGTAGCAGATTGTTTCAGCTGAACTGTATGTACTGGTGTTAATGCTGAAATACTAGAAACCGGTCCTTTAAGATTGTACAGTACAGTGCTTGTTACTACTATTTCCAGGTCATTTGTGGATTTATACGACATGCTTTTCTTTTCTGAGTCAATATGTGACGAGTATAACGATGCAACTCTTAACGATGTAGAGCGTCATCTCTTCGCAGTTCTTCTCGCCCTTCACATACCGCGCGTTGTTTCCTACGGTAGCTCTTAGTAGTTATCACGCCACCCAGCCCATCCGACTACACGTTGAGAACCGTTTCAACCTCTTTACCGTAAGTGTAGCTCCGACCTACGCCTCGTGCGACACCGCTTTCACTCTGCGATCGCCACGCCTCTGACAAAGCGCGCGCTTCTGAAAGAGTCAGCGCGCTCGCAGCCATGGCGCTGGCGCAGCAGCGGCGCGCCGCGGTGCTGTCCTATCCGCCGTTGAAGCGGCGGGGCGCGGCGGGGTCGTTGGCGCGCGTGATCGGCGACGACGGGCTCCGCGCCGATGGCCAGTCGCTGGAGGAGAGCCGCGCCGCGTGTGAGTGCACGCGACGTGCTCGGAATTCATGAGTCGGCTCTGAAGCCTCTCCCCACAAGCCCCTCCCCCCTTCCCCTCACTCCCTTCCCCTCCCCCCTCCCCCCCATGACACGACCCTCACAGTTCTCAAGGCAAAGACGGTCACACAGGCGGCGGGGTCGGCCTATGCGGAGTTTGGCGGCACCAAAGTGATTTTTTCAGTGTGAGTGCAGGTGTTTTTAATCCGGCGTAGAATTCCACTTATGTTAAATCCGTTTTTCTGAGAATTCTCAATCTGATATTGGAGGATTTTCACTTGTGTGGAAATGCACATCCTTGTTCCGTCCAGCCAGACAGATGGGCCGCCGTATGGTACGACTCGCCATTTAGTTTTGAGGCGCCTCAAAACTGTGCTGTGCAGCCAGACAGATGGACTTTGATGGACTTAAAAGGACTTCAATGGACCTCGATAGTTTGCTGTCCGTGCAGTCATAGTTTCGATATGACTCGCCGTTTGCTGTGACAGTACGGCCTGTCGGATCCACTATTCGCGTTCCTGGCATTCCACACTCCCTGCTCTGCTCCTTGTCCCCACGGACATTGTTCACTTGTGAATGGCCGCGGGTGCACAAGGGAGTCAACCTTCCCGCACACAGCTCGCCCCGCTGACCCCACTCAGCACCCTCCCTCCCTCTCCCCTCCTCTCCCCTCCTCTCCCCTCCTCTCCCCTCTCCTCCCCTCCTCTTCCCCTCCTCTCCCCTCCTCGCCCCTCCCTCTCCCCTCCTCTCCCCTCCTCTCCC